GGGGGGGGTCACCTCAACATGAGGAACTGTATTAAAGGGTCATGGCATTAGGAAGGTTGAGAACCACTGATCTAGGAGATAACGGCTGTGGGTAGACACAATTCTCCGTAAAGGGTCATTGTGTCTCTGCGGAGGTGGTATTTTGGGCCCTGGGAGCAGATGCGACAGGGACATTTCCATGAACCACTTGGCTTCTGCAGCTCATGCAAACCCAGTGTTTGCCCCTGGGCTGACCAGGAAGCCTGCTGCTTCCTCATCCTCTCTTCTGTGGACCCAAGCTTAGCGTGGCTGTCACAACCACCAACAGAACCTCATCCCCTGGGGAGGGAGAGTCCCCCTTCCTCATCCTCATCACCAGCCCTCCCTGTCCAGGGTAAGCCACCTCATTCGCCCCCCACCCATTCATCTAGTCAAGACCCTGTGTACCAGCCCGAGCACTGGGGCCTGGGGATCCAAAGATGATCATATTAGCATATATGCCCACACCAACACCCCCCTGCCATCAAGTGCATTCTGACTCAGAGGACCCTGTAAGACTAAATCTTTACCGAAGCAGACAACTTCATTATTTTCCCAAGGAGTCGATGCTGGGGTTTGAACCATCAACCTTGTGGTTAGCAGTCCACCGTTGACCCCATGGTACCACCACCAGAGCTCCTTTCGAAAACACTAGTCCTGGCCAAACACTGGAGTTATATTGAAGGAACGCTAGTGATGTAATGAGGAGTCCTAGTGCCCACTGGTTAGTCATTCGACTGCTAACCACAAGCCAGCGGTTTGAAACCATCAGCCACCGTGCAAGAGAAAAACGAGGCTTTCTATTCCCATCAAGAGTTATAGTCTTGGAAACCCAAGTCCACAGGGACAGTTCTATCCTGTCCTAGAGGGTCGCTCAGTGTAGGAATCCAGTTGATGGCAATGAGCTTTGGAGAGTGGTGTAGTCATGGAGTTTGGTTTAAATTCGTATTTGTGGCTGTTGTTATAATGATAATAATAGTAATGTTGCTGCATCATGGTGTCATGTGACCCCACCCACAGTCAAACACTGTCTGGCCCTGTGCCATCCCCACAGTCCATTAATTGGCTCTTGGGCTTTTGTGCTCTGTAGCATTTTCATTGGCTGGTTTTTAGGAGTAGCTTAACAGCCCTTTCTTTGTCTGGAAGCTTCACTGAATCCCGTTCACTATCTCGGCAACATGCAAGCCCCCACTGACAGACGGGTGGTTAGTGCACTGTCAGGGAGTAGAACCCAGGTCTCCCACCTGGAAGAATTCTACCTCAGAGCCATCCAGGCCTCACAATAATAAAAATAGGGCCTACTATTTTGTGCCAGGGGATGGGCCTGTCCTTTTTATGGGGTGAGGGCTTTGTACATGTCTGGCCCTTGGTCTCAGCAGCTCACGTGGTCTGGAGTGGGGAGGGGGAAGCGACCTGCACTTTGAGTCCCAGGGTGCTAGGTGCTGCCCTGTGAAAGCTGAGGTGCTCCCGCTCCTCTCGGCCCTGGCTAGGCAGGGACTGGGTGGCTGGTGGGCTGTCAGGACCCCTGCAGGGGTGGCGCTTTCTAAGCCAAGATTGTCAGCTCCCCTGTGGCCCCAAGAGTGGCCTGCAGAAGCACAGAGGCCTCAGTCTCTGAGGAGAGGTCATCTGAGGTCAGTCCTGCACAAGAGGGGACTGTGCCAGGGCATTCTTTCCAGGGCAGCCACAGTCTCTCCCGTCCACTCATGGAAGCAGGGGGGCTGCGCCCTGTGCTGAGAGCCTCAGGGGAGAGCATGTGGTGGGGTGGGAGGAGAGAAGAAGGAGCCCCTTTTGGCTTTGGTTTCCGACAGCTGAGCCCTTAGGGGGACCGAGGGGTTCTAGGCATAAACAGGATGTGAGGGGACAGAGGGAAGCTGGCCTGCTGGGACTTCGTGGTGCTCAGAGAAAAAGGCCTTTAGTCCGTGTGCAGCCTCGCAGCCTAAGGTGGCCCCGGGCAGCGCTGAAGCAGGACTGCGGGGGTCCGTCCTCTGCCTACCATGTGCCTTTCGGTGGCCTGATGCTTGTCCTGCCGTCTGGTGACTTCCTTATTCCATCTCTCGGAGAGGCAGCTTTCTCCTCTGTGCAACGGATGTAAGGCTAGCATCGCCGTGAGCTGTGATGGTGGTGGTGCTAGGGCGGGGGTGGGGAGGTGCTGTTAGTCCAGGTAGACTAGAGAAACAAATCCAGAGACACTCATATATTTGTCAAAGAGAGTTTTGTATCAAAGAGTAATTGTATATTAAGAAAACATCCCAGCCCAGTCCAGATCAAGTCCTTAAGTCTAATATTAGCCCTTATGTATGACACCAGTCTATAAATTCCTCTTCAGACTAACGCAACACATGCAATGACTCCGAATGCAGGAAGATCACAGGCCAGTGGGTGGAAAGTCTTGTGGATCCGGTGCCAGTGGAAGCATCTCAGCGCTGGTGTGGGTCTCCACGTGGCTCCATCAGCGTAGCTCCATGTGACTTGTCAACAGGAATGCGAAGCAGAGAGAGTGTGTCTGGCCTCCAGGGAGCTATCTTGCACAGCCAAATGCGACCTGATTGACCGGCTAGATTCCACACCTTCACAAGTTGACAGATGACTGTGACAGTACCCGCAGGGGGTAATCTGGCACAGCCTGGCCTTCTCCTTCCCCTCCAGCCATTCCCTCCCTTGCTCCTATGCCCTCTGAGGACCCAAAGTCTCACCTGGCCCTGCCCTCTGCCTCCTTCCCTGGCCCCCCTCCTCCTACCCTAGCAAGCCCTAAGATGGGATCCTCCCGGCCTTTGCCTCCTGGCCTCTTCATGCTTGTGGTCCCTGGACAGGCATACCTCGGAGATACGGTGGGTTCGGTCCCAGGCCACAGCAATAAAAGGAAAGTTGTAACAAAGAGAGCCACTCGCATTTTCCAGCAGACATGGCCTATTCAATGTGCAATGGCACGATGGAAAAGTCGGAGGTATGTGATAATGATCAACACGTGGCGCAGAGGCACACAGGATGGAATTGTGGCGCCTCCACGGAGGGTGGCCGCAAACCAAGGTGCTCAACACGCAAATCCGCTCCACGAAGCGAGGTCTGAAGCCGGG